ACTTATCTTCAAGTGAAGTGTTCAGTGATCGTTCAGTGCTATTAGTTTTTTTTTTTTTTTCCTTTCCACATTTTTTAATGGAATAGAAAGAGATTATTTTGAAAACCCTCCCCTCCATCTATTAAGATTAAAATATGTCCAAAAATAAAAAGGGTTAAATTAATAGAAAAAGGTCATTTAATTAAATTATGTTACTATGAATAAAACAGTAAAATAAGATAAAATAATGCTTTAACTGATGTAATAATTTAAATGAAATAAGTTACAAAATAACAGGCTTTATTATTTAATGTTTATATTTTTCTTAAAGAAGAGTTTTGTGTTATTTTAGATATAAGGTGTGGAAACTTTTCTCTTCCGTGTATTCAATTCAAACATACATAAAGAAAATCACAAATTGAGACTAATCATTAACAATATAGGGGAACCTATAGAGACTTTATCAACATTTTTAAACCCATCATTAAACAAAGTAAATAAAAATAATGAATATGACAAAAAAAAATGTATATGAGCTAAAAATGATGCTAGTGTTGGGGTCAGGGGTATTTCAAAATTAAAACACAAACCCTTCCCCACTGAGTTTTCTCAAAGGTGAAAAAATTCGAGCAAAATTAAATGTTGGGAAAGAAGGAAAATTAAAAAGAGTAAATATGAGACCTGTAAAAGAAGAAAAAAATGCATGCACAAGAAAATATTAAAAACTAGAAATATTTCAATAAATAAAAAAAATGGAAAATAAATATAAATCTCCCTTTTGAATGTTTACAATATTTATTATGGTGAAAAAAGCTATAAATTTATACAAAAGTTTAAAAAAACAATGATGAAAAGTTACGAGAAAAAATAAAACATAAATATAATATTCAGAGAAAATAAAACCAAATTAAACATTATGAATAAAATATAAATAAAACCAACTTCTAAAATTATAAATAAAATCAAGAGAAAATAAATAACTGTGCAAAAGAATAAAACTAATTTACAGGTAAAACGAAAATTAACTTAATGTTTAAATGTCTTGGTGATAGTGAGAATAAAAAAAACGAGCCAAGTTGGAGGTTCTGCTTCCAACCAGGTTACCTTTTCAATGTTACACAGTCATTGAGGAAATATTGAATCGATAGCCTATCGATCTCGATCGACAACTGCCGATGCACCCAATAGCTGTTCTTTGAAAATGGCGCTAGGCTGTTGCCAGGTGAGATGAGGTGAGTCTGGACTTGGAAGGGGTAGACGTCCACTACATACGAAAGATAGCTCCAGACTGATGACCTGGCAGTATTTTGATGTTTTAATCCCTAAGACTGGGTATTACTGCCGGGCTGGTGCATATACAAATGCGATAACATATCGCAAACGAAGCCAAATATACAAATAATATAAACTTAAATACATTTCTAGAACTATTGTATCTTAGCTGTTACAAAACAAAATAAATAAACATTCCATTATTAACATTTAAAAGGGGTTAATGGTGAGGAAAAAAAATAGACGACAGGAAAATAAAATACGTTAATTCGGGCGTTAACAGCTAGGAAACATGAAAAAAATCTACATATAGCAAGTTTAGATGTAAAATCCCTATTTACAAATGTGCCCATTAAAGAAACCATGAAACTAATTAACTCAAATTGGGACCAAATAAAAGATTATACACCAATAAAAGATAAAAACCTGTTGATGGAATGATTGAATATATGTTTGAAAAATAACTTTTTTATATATAAATAATAATAATCTTGTTCTGAACAATTCACCTATCTCCTTCCATACCACCGTTAAAAACCTAGGCATTACCCTCGATCAAAGCCTCTCCTGGAAACCAAAGATCTCCCAAATTTCTCGCCGTACTATATCCACCCTGAAACAGTTTAACCATCTACGTTATCTTCTTCCATTCAAAACCCGTCAACTCCTGGTCTCCTCTCTTGTATTCCCCCACTTCGACTATGGCTGCATGGTGTACAGTGGACTCTCGGGAGAACTCGATGCTAAACTAACGTTTAATGAATTGCTCAATCCGCTTTATCTTCGGGATCTCAAGGGATACGCATATTACCCAGTTCTAAACCAAGTTGAAGTGGCTTTATCCGTCCTACCGCCATCAATATTTCCTTGCTACCTTCCTATACCAAGCCATTAGAACACGGCGACCTGCCTATATTCTACAGATCTTACAACTCAAACACTCCTATCAATCCCGTCCCACCAGATCCCGTGCGTCTGACCTCTATCCTCCTCCTTACCGAACTGCTGCGTTTGATAAATCCTTTTTAATACAAGTTGTCTCCCTCTGGAACTCTATACCTTCAGATATTCGACACGCAAAATCATATCCTCTTTCAAATCTCTCCTCTTCAAACACCTACTCCATTCCCAATCCGATTGATCACGAAATGCACTTAAAAACCTGTAAAACCTCAAAGTACGCCCAGATACTCTGATTACTTTATGATTCATCGATATTTCATTTACTTAATTACTTTCTCTGTATATTTTATATTTACACGTATTTATATCTTTTTATTACTTATAACTTTATTGTATTCCTAATCAACCTGTAAATATTAAACTGTATTTTATGGACACACCAAAATATTAATATATATTCTGTATTTGTAACTTTTCTAAAGGGACACTAGTCCCAGAATAAAATAAAATTATTTTCATTCATTCATTCAATAATAATATAAGGCTTAGCGAACCCAGAGGTTCGATGCCGATCGCCCCTAACCACCAATCGCTTATTGCACATCTCCCTCCACCGTTCACCGTTCAAACCCAGTCCCTTCAGATCGGCTTTAACGCAATCTTTCCACTTTATCTTCGGTCTACCTCTTGGACGTTTACCATTCGGTACAGAAAATAACAACCTTTTAGGAATTCTTTCATTATTAAGCCCAACAATTTTACAAGCCCATTTGATTCGCCTCAATTAAATTAGCTGGATACAATTCACACAGCTCAGCATTGTGCAACCTTCTGAACTCTCCGGTTGACTCATCTTTCTTCGGTCCGAATATTTTACGCAATACTTTATTTTCAAAAACCTTAAGATGTTGCTCATCCCTTAATGTAAGCGGCCACCTTTCGCATACATAAAGAACTGTAGGTTTTATAAATTCTAGTCTTTAAATTTGGGACAAGATGCGTATTTTAGAAACTCCAGCTTCCCCGCAGTTCCCACTGCTTTGTAAGATTTTAATTTTCTGATAGCTACTTCAACTTCGTCTTTACTAGGTTCTTCTACTAACGGTTCCGCACTCTGGTACTCAGAAGGAAGACACAGATCATAATTTCCCAAATTTAAAATATTATCAAAGTGGCTCTTAAACTTATTTAATATGTCTACCGGATCAGTCAGAATATTGTTATTTTGATCCCTAATTCCAGATATGAAGGACTCTACACATTTACGTGATCTGCTTATACCTTTTTACATGTCTCTTACGTCATTTTCAATTCTATTAGTTTCTATTTCAATTATTTTATTTTTAAGATACTCCCTTTTTTTATTGTTGAGCAACTTTGTCGTTTCATTCTTTGAGGTTCAGAATCATTCCAGATTGTCTTCGCTAGGATTATTTAGAGCTTTTAATTTAGCGGCTTTATTTATTTATTTTTTTTTTTTTTCGCACATGTTTAAGCAATCTTCATCAAACCACGGTTAGTTATTCTTATTTTCCTTTTTTCCTAGACACGAGTTACCGACCACTTTAATATTATCCCTGATCTCAACTCATAACTTCTCAATATCCTCACGGTCCTCGTCATAAGGATCTAAAGCTTCAAACCTATTCAGACGGATCCCATTATCATTACTATATTCGCACAAACTTTCTTAACCAATCGTTGGGACATAAACTTTTTCCCTCCCCACCTTTGCGTTTGTGTTACCTACAATTATTTACACGGAGTTCGTTTGCCCTAGTTTGTCACAAAACCATTCGAGTTTATCGTAAAATTAGTATTTGACTTCACCGTCACTGTCTTTGGTCAGACAATGTATATTTATGAACGCGATTTTAAAACAGCGGCCCTGAGGTATCACTACCAAAATTCTATCACTAAAGAATCGTACGTTCCTCAAAGCGGATAGCAATCTTTTTCTAATAAGAAAACCGGTACCTAAACAATGATTTCCGCTTTCTCCGTACCAAATAATGTACTTTCCTTCCCTCATCAAGCCCTCCCCTGGTCAGCGAACCACGATATCCAAATTGTACCCATTAACCTCATTCGCGACCGATTTTAACCCCTCTGCTGAGTTTAAACTCCTTATGTTCCACATAAAAATACTCAAATCTCTATTTTTCAACTTGTGCCATGAATCCCCTAAAGCAGTCCCCACCCAGAGACCCGAACCGGGGACTAGTTTACCTCCGGATAATGAGCGTTTCACCTTAGGGAGATCCATGACTATTTGTGATGTATGGTGAACTAAAGAAATGTGAGGAGGGCGTTCAATGCTACATCACACGCTCCAGCAAGTCTTGAGGGCCTCTCTCATTATTGGTCAGCGAGTCCATTGGACTTAGCCAGCTAAGCCCGGAATCATCAAATGTCGAGTGGTAGAAAATATTGGCTTTCCTACAAGGTGTTGAACTAAATTAATATTATCCAAAAGTTAATAAGAAGTGAGGTGTATCATTTTGAATGTAAGGTAAAATTAAACAATAATTTATTTAAATAATCACAGTTGAATATTTTAATTTTTTTTGAGTTTGTACATATTTAAAATGAGATTATAAATAAATCTGTTGAAGAGTTTCTGGTTTTATTTATTTACTATCATTGAAGTTATTTTTTTACAGAGTGTATCAATTTCACTGTGAGCCACTGTATATACTGAAAAATAATTTTATCTGTCTAGCAGTATATATTAACTTATTTTTGTGTTTCAAGTCTTTTAGTTTGAAAATATAATTGATTAATTTTCAACAAATTTAGGAAAACATTATTCTACAATTAAAATATATTATGCAAACAGTTATTACAGCAAAGCATGCAGTTTTTCCAGGCACTATCATCTGGATATGTCCAGAAACAGCATTTTCTGCAACTCCAGATTCAAACCATGTTATGTTTTTTTCATTGCATGCTGAATTTATAGCCATTCTAGCTTCAAAGTTATCAACACAACTTAACACCATATCTACTGGATGGCCAAAAGTTAATCCACTGGTCCTGAAAAAAATAAATATAATAGAACGTTTAAATTCATAAATATCAGAACAATAATAAATAAATCAAATAATATGTATCATACAACATTTTAATATTTATAATAAAGAGTAATAAAGTATAATGTTGTACATTAGAATAATCTGGTATTATGCAAATTTATTGTTAGGAAGCATACCCTCCGAGGCGTCTGAAAAGAAGATGGCCTCGGGACCTTCTAATTATAACAATCAATTTGAGTTCTACCAATGGGTAGTTTCTCTTCATGTTGTACATGTCATGTTACCAATGCCACATTTACTTGTTGTATTTTCATGTAATATAGTTGTAAATTTCATTAAAATAAAAAAATGTATGAATCCTAAAAATATATTATTAAAAGTTAATTATTAAGTATCAGTCAAGTATAGGTCATTTAAGAAACCAACAAATTGAAAATTTGATTTCAATAACAATAGGCAACATTTTTGCCAAAGATTGGCCATCTGAAGGATTACAAATATGATACAAAACAAAAATTACTAAAATTGCAGTTTTGTTTTGCGTATTATTTTAAAGACCATCAAAAAAGTGATAATGAAGCAGATGTGAGCAAACGGTCGACGTATGACACCCTTGGTCGGCCTCTAGGCCTTCTTCTGTCAGAGGCATAGTACATTTTTTTCAGTGATCCTCCATTTTTATAACATGGGCGAAACCAATACAGCTGGCGAGCCTCAACGACTTCCTTCACTGAACGAACTCCTAGTTCCTCTCTTTTTTAATTAATTTAGGACATTTTTATAATTGATTTTAAAAATTAAAAAAAAATTGTTCATGTTTGGTTTACATACCTGCCTTATTACTTTTTTTTTTTTAAAGCCAACATATTTTTACATTATATAGAATGAAAGCCCATGCAAAAAAATCGACATTATGTGAAGAAAATTTTGAAAGCATTTGTTTGAATATTTTAGCATTTCTATTTTTAAAAAAATGAGAGTCTGACAGTTAGATCTTACTACCTGTAAAAATTACGGTTGATTTAAAGAATATTAAGCCAGTAAATAGGGCGTGGGCACAGTTTTTACTTGTATATATGTGTTTAGACATTAAAAAAACAAAATTGCTAGGGCCATCAAGGGAAAACCTTTTACAACCAAAAAAGCCAGATTTTTTTCAATCTTTTTTTTGTTTTTTTTCATCAATAACTGCATTTTGCATTTAAGCAAAAAAAGTACTCTTTAAGAAATTAAAGAAAATTACATTGTGTGTCGAACGAGTAACTAAACTTATTAATTTGGTCAAGTGGTATGGTCGATAAGCATGGTCAACGAACACTGATTTTTAACAAATTCGTCAAAAATTGAAACTAGTTACTATAAATGGCTCTACAGCTTGGAAATGAGTAACGAGAAAAAACTCAGAGAACAAAAGTTGTAGAGCATCAAATTCCGCATCCACTAGTATGGGTGTCTATTCTACTGAGTTATTCTTGTTAAGAATCTCGGATATATAGGAGGATGCACCATATGGTAGAAACATGCAAATGAGCTCCCGCAGTCAAAGGGTTAAAGTATATGAATCATAATTCCCGTCCACCACTATAGTTTAATCCCATCAAGCTTCCTTTCTCAGACACAGTCCATTATCTTGGCTTTCTTTTAGAAGACTAACATGGAACACACATACTAGACTTAAAAGACAAGAACTCAACCGACTATATGGGCAGCTATATAGATTACTGAATAGAAAATCTCTTGAAAACTTTCAATTGACAACAAATTACTGATCTACAAAACAATCCTGAAATCTACCTTTTGACCTGGATCGGACTGTAACTATGGAGGACAGCAAAATTTTCTAACATCAAATGCATTCAATCCTTTCAATTTAAAGTCCTTCAAACAATAGTTGATGGTCGTTGATGGTCCGTGCTCCATTTTAACTAACAAAACCCTATGCCATAGTACTGGTACTGATAAGGGAACTTAGTCCAGCAAGTGGGCCTGTTGTTCCTTTTTGCCAACCCCAAAGACAATAATACTAATGGCTGTCTGTTATACCTCCAACTCTGTCTCAAACCTTTTTGTTTTTCCAATGAAGTTCAAAAGGTTGGACCATTTTATGGAGGTAGCTTCGCGTACTTGTATTTTGTTTGCTCCCAGAAGTCTGTATCTGAGTGACGCAAATCGGTCACATTCTGTAATGAAGTGAAGGGCAGTTTCTGGTACGTTTCTGCACAGATTGCAGAGTTCATCATTTACTATCCCACAGATCTCTAAATGTCTTTTAAGTCTGCAGTGGCCTGTTAGTACTGCTGTGATGAGTCGGATTTCTTTCTTAGTTAGGCCCAGCAGCTACTTAGTTTTGGAGGTGGAGGGGATTTTGATAAATTTTTTGGCTTGTCTAAACCCAGTGCATTCCCTCCTTTACCTGCTCTTTTCCAAGTCCAATCAAGGACTTCTTTCCTCTGATGTTTTTTGGGTATTCCTATTGCAGGTTCCGGACTTACAATAGGAAATTCTGCTCCCTTCCTTGCGAGGACATTGGCTTTTTCATTGCCTTTAATTCCCTTGTGACCAGGAATCCACACTAGTTCCACTTTCTTAGATCAGGCCAGTGTCTCCAAAGCTTGTTTACACTCCTGTACCAGTGTGGACGTCACTTTGGGAGATTCCAATGCTTGTAGTGCCGACTGACTATCCGAATAGATAGTGATGCAGCATTCTCGCAATTAGTAACTTCTAGACAGGTGGCTATGTAACCAACAAAACCCTACACCATGACCTTAATATCCCATTTATCCTTTAACCTTACCCTAGACAATTTTTTTTAAATTCCATCAGAACCTTACATATAATTCAAATCCACTTCCACAATTCCTATCTAGCTCCACCCATCCTTACAATTCTCCATGAAGGTTGAAGCAACAGTGGCCATAGCTATATGAGTCTAGTTAAAGCACCTCAGTTCAGCCTCCACTTGTCTGTGTTAAACACCAGTGATGCGGCTGAGTGAGAGGCACTGGGATCTCCTAGAGTCCTGCCTTTCCTTCCATGAGTGGCATATAAAGTATGTGTTTATCTATGTTGTTATTTTAGTTTTTTTTTTTTTTAGATTAGTTTAGTTTCTTTTTGTTTATATACTTTTAGTAGTATAATTTATTGTTTAATTCACTTTTATTTATTGTACATACAGTGTGAATGAGCTACTCTATCATTATCACTAGCATCCTTGAATATAACAAACAGTAATATTTCTCAATAAAGAATTAAATAAAAATTTCTTAAAGAGTACATTATTTGCTTTGATGCATCGTTTAGATGTTATAGGTGAAAACAAATACAAAAAGATTAAAAAAATCTGGTTTTTATAGCTGTAAAAAGTTTTCTCTGAGTGGCTCACATTAGCAATTATGTTTTTTACATGTCTAAATCCTGCGAACCTTCCAGCTCCTCCCCATCAGCGGTCTTTCCCATTTCCCCTCACAATTTAAATTCACATTTTACATCTACTTCTTCTACCTCTTCTCTACCCTCCTTTTCCAACTTTGTTTCTGAGTCATCATTTAATCATGATGACTTCTATTTTTCCAAAATTTCCCCCAAAGACCTTTCAACCACTCCAATGAGATCTTTCACCAATTCAATACTTGCAAGTCGTGTGATAAGGAATTTGAACTCGGAGACAAATGATGTCAGTAGGCTAGTGAGGTTAGAAGAGTTGTTAGGAGTAGGAATGGAAGGCTGCAGTTGTTGAGTTTCGGGATTATGAGGTGGTGGCTTGCAGCAGGCCTCTTCTGTGGCTTCTATCATCTGGTTGTTTTATTTTAAAATACTTGAAAATGGCATTAAAGCTGTTACCTGATCTGAGAGGTCTAGAACTTTTCCTCATGCCAAGTATGTTCATGTCCATATATTTGTGAGAGGAAATGGTATACAATAACAAGAATAAAAATGTGAGTCAAAATAATATAATCTATATTAAACAAAATTAAAATAATAAATATAAAAGTAAATAGGCGCTGGTAACATGTAATGGCAAAAATTATTTACAAGCCCTTCCCTCTCTCCCCCACCCAAAAAATTAGGAAATAACATAAAATAATTATTTAACAAATTGAAAAGAATTTAAATTGATAATCTTTGTAAAATAAAATAACCTATTTTGAAATATTCAGTAAAGTAAAATAAAAGTGTTTTAACACCAGGAAAAAAAAAATTAATTTGTGGAATTAACTCGCAATCACTGGTAGATGGTATGTTGGAGAAAAGATATGGAAAAGGAATAATGACTGAAGAAAATAATTTCTCAGAGGAATATTGCAATTAAAATGTTGAAGAAAGAGAAGAACTGATGAACCAAGCTAGTTTAGCAATGGGTATTATACCAGGATTCATTGGAGTACTGAAGCTGGAGTAAATACTGTCTGCTGTAGGTATTAATGTTGTGATTGTATACATAAAGCAATAACATAAAAAAGAAACTTCCATTTTCCTTATAATAATAAATACTTACGATGTTTATATATTAAATAAAGAACACAAAAAATCTTTTAAATTACAAAAAATAAAAAAATTGTAATATTGCTTTAAAGTAATGGTAATGGCAGCAAAATTAACTGGCGATTATCAGTGCGGATTCTGGCCTAGAAAATTGACAATCGGCCATATCTTCACCATCAGGATCATGCTGGAGAAGTGCTATGAATGGAATGGCAACCTGCACCAGATTTTCATAGACTACAGACAGGCTATGACAGCATCAGAAGAAACAAACTATGAAGACCAAAGAATACTAGGCTGCCCCCTGAAACTCATTTGGATGATAAAGATAACCTTAATGTACAGTAGAGATGTAGTCAGGACCCAAAGAGAATTGTCTGCAGATATCGCCATACAAAATGGAGTAAAACAGGGTGACCCTTTATGTCCAGTGTTATTTAACCCAGCACTAGAAGTAATTATTAGGGTGATGCAAACGAGGAATAACGGGCACATTTATAACAGAGAGACCAAACA